ACTTTTTTGTGAGATTAGACGATTAAATCTAAGCCTACAAAATTTTTTGTTTAGAATGAAGTCACACAAAACCAAAAGGAGTATATTATCACAGAGCTGATCAAAAATATTACTGTAAATTAACTATGAAACAATAAATCGTAATACTTTTGTCAAATGCGTAAATGATACAATTGTGGAATTGATAATTTGATGTGTGGTTGGACAACCAATGCTCACTCAACAAAAAAATACTCAACTTTCATGCAATTTGCACGCAAATTCGTGTCTTAATTCAGTTACTTTCTGATTGTCAAATTTGCTTGTCGTCTAACTTCCTACTTTCCCTGTTTTTACTCATCCCAAATCATTGGCAAGTAATTATAATCAAATAGATGGAAGTTAAAAAGACAAAAAAGCTATTTTGACTGATGCCTGTTGTTAAACAAACAAACAAAAGTTCCCCAAGCGCGGTGTCACATTTTTTTTCTCAACAAACAATTAACTCGGCAAATTACTTCAAAACAAAACAGTATTCAGTTGAAATTGCCAACGATTTACAAAAAGAACTCAAAATTCCCAATAATGCTTAATTTGTAGGTTATTACGGCATTTTTGTTTTTCGACACTGTTAAACACCCCCGTAAAAATCGCCATATCTTGAAATCTAGATTAGATCAGAATAACGCAATAGTTGCTTAACAGCAGTGACATTGTTGAAAAGTTGCGTAACAGTATCAATTTTTGCTTGTATGGTTCATGTTCCGAATTATGAAGGAAATAAGGAATATTTATGCCTGGGGTGGTTTTTTTTATCTTAGTCAACTTTTGACTTTTTGAAAAAGCTTTTTTTTGAGGGAGTACTTTTTGTCAGGGAGTTTTTATTGAAAGTTGTTTTGGTTTTGTCATGAGCTCAAAATTAAAAAAAATATATGTTACATATCATCTTTGTAAAGTTGTGAGGTTTTGAAAATTACTGATTTGGCCAATTTGGAATAATTAACGCCCAATATTTTGCGTGCTTATAACATGCGTAAACGGCGAATTTACGCGTTTCAAATAGAGGCAAATTAATTGGTCATTATATTCGGAAACAAGACGCTTAATACAGCGTTTTGAAGTTTACATGAGTGTGAGGGGTATAAATTAAAGAAAAAGGGATTTGATAATTTCGTCAAATTTTAACCAAAAAACTTTTCAATTGACCTTAAAATTCTACCAAAATATTCAGGGTTTTGCTTTGATATATCAGCAGTGTGGTCTTTTTTCGGCTTGATCAGATGGTTGGAAGTAAGGCAGCACTGGATGTAGTCCTCAACTTTTACTAATTTTTTTGAGCAGACAATTTTATTATAATGTACCACCGTTTACAATTTTTTTTGTTTGAATGATGAACAAAAATTTGCCTTCAATTCTAGCGTATTTTGTTTTACTACTTTGGTTCATCGGTTGTGATTATCACATACCATAAAATCAGATTTAGTCTCAATAATGCTGTTGTTATAGCTACTTTCACGTTTGCTTTTTTTTATTTCTTTTGCAGCTCAAACACATGTTTCGCAACCACAGTTTTAATTTCGAAAAAAAATCTTAAAACAATTTTTGTCCAAAAAGGTTTTATTTTTTAAAATCAGTCAAAACTTTATTTCGAAAATGACCTCTTCATCAATTTTTTTTTAGTTTTTTCTTCAAAGTAAAATTTTAAATCATCAATCAATCCACAATACGTGTTTAAGCGTTAATCATTTTTATGTGTTGTAAAATGAAATAAATTCAAAGCCACTTTTGGTTCTCTCGTAAAAAAAAACAATTCATAGTTAAAAACGGAAAAAACTTTTTAAAAAACTTATAATTTTAGGGCCACAAATTCGGCATGAGTGCAGGCGACAGAACAGAAGACCACTCACTGTTGGGTGCTATCATGAAGAAAGACTCGGAGGCCAAAGGGGCAATAGCAGTACACGCCAGACGCCCATCCCTCCGCTCGGACTTAGTTGACCTCAAAACGAGAGCCATAGTGGAAAAGCAGCGCGTGAAGGAATTCGAATCATCAAGTGCCCAGAAAATCAAAGAAATGTGTTCTATAACCTAACGTATAGATTACAAATGATAACAGTTTCAAATTTAATTTTTTGTTACAAAATATCTAAGTGAAATCTTTTATGCACTTTCAGTCTGATTTCTTTACTTTTGCTTTCGTCAAATAATATCAATTGAGCGTGTCATAAATTTTGCGGTTTACAAATTGTTGTTACTAAAAAGTGGAACTTCTTCCTGAGTTTGAATTCATTAAGAAATATCGACCAAAAATAATATCTTTGATTTATTATAATTGAGCGTAAGATGCGCGCATATTGTTTTAGGCTATATGCCTAAAAAGGCAAGAAGACTGCGCGTATCAGGGCAAGCATTGTTTTTATTTTTTATTTCTGATAAATGATTGATCACAGATGATAAGTCAAATGATGCAGTACTTGGACAATCTTGTCAAGATCATGGTTATTCTTGGATAGTAAAGAGTCGATGAACGTTGCGTAAAAGTCTCAAAAAACGTGATCACTTTCTAATTTCGAACAGAACTTCTCCCATCCGAGCGAAACCCTGAAAAACCCCACTGCGCTGTTTCTCTATGTTCTGATTTAAAAATTAAAAAATGATGAAATTAGCATAAATAAAACTAAGAAAAATTTTTAAAAGTTTTTTGATCTTATTTTTTTTTTAAAATCACCCCTCACATGATTTATTTTGCACATGACGAATTATTAAATAGAACAAAATGCATGCCTCAATGCAATTTGGAACAATTTCTAATACGGATTAATTCTCCGCTTACGCGTTAATTTTACGAAATTTTACGAAAATTGGCCAAAATGGCTATTCTTAAACCACCATAAATTGACAAAGAATGCTTACAGGTGAAAATTGAGCACAACAGGAAACAGTACTTTTTGATTGATAGCAAAAAAGCTATCAAAAATTGCTAGTTTAAAAGTCGAAGTTTGTGTGGAGAAAAAGAACCGCCCAGAGCACAAAGCTTCCGTCACTTTCTTCGAATATCGGAACAAAAAGGAATTATAATATACGATTTTCCCGCAAAATAATTTTTTTTTATTGATTCAAAGTTCTCAATTTTTTTCAAAAAAGCGTCAATCATAAAGTGCCTAAGAGAAACACGAAAAAGTTGCTTTCATCCAGAAAGATTCCCGCACTGGATTTCCGCCAATATAAATCGATTAAGTTTGGTTTTTAATGTGAGTGTCTGTAAAAGGGAAAAACAGTCGCTTATAATCAATTGAAAATTGATTATAATATTTTATTTAAGAAAAATTGAAGTTCATTGCATACCAATTGTGGTTGATTATTTTTCACTTTTATAGATCAAAATAAAGAAACTCAGTTAGTTATGAACGTTTTTCTACCACTTTATTGAGAAGGGAATTTCAACGCCCACAACGGGTTTTCTACGGTTTAAACTAAAGTTGGTTGTTACTAGTTTAATTTCAAAATTTTTTCTGCGCAACTTTGATTTTTCTTTCTGTTTTTATCAAGCTGAATTTCTGGCGCCTTCGGAAATGAACCACCCACCCCCTCCCCTCTTCAATTGAATCACCTCCCCCCTCCCTGACCTGAACCATTCCCCGGTCCCCGCCCACATGAACCAGTCCCCCAACCTGAACAACTCCCCCACGCCAGAACCAACCCTCACCCCCATTGGGTTGGTTCTGGCAACCCTCACCCAATCGGTTGGTTCTGGCGGGGGGGTTGTTCTTGGTTTAGGTGGGTTGGTTCAGGTAGGTAGGATCTTTCATGCCAGGGGCGGGTGGTTAAGGTGGGGAGTTCAAGTGGAATGGTTTTTTCTGGTGTGGGAGGGGTTGGGTGGTGATTGAGGTAGAAGTGGTGTTTCAGGTGGTCAGAGGGGGTGGGGTGGAGTGTGGTGGGGTGATGATTTTTTAGGTGGGGGAATTACTGCTGGCATTGGTTGAGGTTGCCAAGTAAAGGGGATTGAATCAAGTGGAGGTGTTATTTCAGGTGGGAGATGGAGGGTTGTTCAGGTCAGGGGGCGGGTGATTCAGGTGGGGGTTCAGGTGGGGGTTCTTGTTTTTTGATCTTATTTTTTTTTTAAAATCACCCCTCACATGATTTATTTTGCACATGACGAATTATTAAATAGAACAAAATGCATGCCTCAATGCAATTTGGAACAATTTCTAATACGGATTAATTCTCCGCTTACGCGTTAATTTTACGAAATTTTACGAAAATTGGCCAAAATAGCTATTCTTAAACCACCATAAATTGACAAAGAATGCTTACAGGTGAAAATTGAGCACAACAGGAAACAGTACTTTTTGATTGATAGCAAAAAAGCTATCAAAAATTGCTAGTTTAAAAGTCGAAGTTTGTGTGGAGAAAAAGAACCGCCCAGAGCACAAAGCTTCCGTCACTTTCTTCGAATATCGGAACAAAAAGGAATTATAATATACGATTTTCCCGCAAAATAATTTTTTTTTATTGATTCAAAGTTCTCAAATTTTTTCAAAAAAGCGTCAATCATAAAGTGCCTAAGAGAAACACGAAAAAGTTGCTTTCATCCAGAAAGATTCCCGCACTGGATTTCCGCCAATATAAATCGATTAAATTTGGTTTTTAATGTGAGTGTCTGTAAAAGGGAAAAACAGTCGCTTATAATCAATTGAAAATTGATTATAATATTTTATTTAAGAAAAATTGAAGTTCATTGCATACCAATTGTGGTTGATTATTTTTCACTTTTATAGATCAAAATAAAGAAACTCAGTTAGTTATGAACGTTTTTCTACCACTTTATTGAGAAGGGAATTTCAACGCCCACAACGGGTTTTCTACGGTTTAAACTAAAGTTGGTTGTTACTAGTTTAATTTCAAAATTTTTTCTGCGCAACTTTGATTTTTCTTTCTGTTTTTATCAAGCTGAATTTCTGGCGCCTTCGGAAATGAACCACCCACCCCCTCCCCTCTTCAATTGAATCACCTCCCCCCTCCCTGACCTGAACCATTCCCCGGTCCCCGCCCACATGAACCAGTCCCCCAACCTGAACAACTCCCCCACGCCAGAACCAACCCTCACCCCCATTGGGTTGGTTGTGGCAACCCTCACCCAATCGGTTGGTTCTGGCGAGGGGGTTGTTCTTGGTTTAGGTGGGTTGGTTCAGGTAGGTAGGATCTTTCATGCCAGGGGCGGGTGGTTACGGTGGGGATTTCAAGTGGAATGGTTTTTTTTTCTGTTGTGGGAGGGGTTGGGTGGTGATTGAGGTAGAAGTGGTGTTTCAGGTGGTCAGAGGGGGTGGGGTGGAGTGTGGTGGGTTGATGATTTTTTAGGTGGGGGAATTACTGCTGATATTGGTTTAGGTGGCCAAGTAAAGGGGATTGAATCAAGTGGAGGTGTTATTTCAGGTGGGAGATGGAGGGTTGTTCAGGTCAGGGGGCGGGTGATTCAGGTGGGGACGGGGGTGGTTTACATTGGGGGCTGGGGCGGTGGTTCAGGTATGTGTGTGTGGTTCATGTGATCAGGTGAGGTGGTTCAAGTGTGAGTAGAGGGCAAAAATTGGGCTGGGGGTTGTAAGGGTGAAGGTGCAAACATAAGGGGAAGAGTAGTTTATCGAAATCGTTTTGCAATTCGAGAAAGTTTAGATTAAGAAATCGAATAGTCCGTAAGCTTTTTAGTTTTGCAAAGTTTGCAAAGTTTCCGGACTGACTCATTTGATAAACGCAGAAACTCTTGTAAAATTTCGCTCGACGCGAAACAAAAGTAAAGTGGAATTCATGTTGCCCGCAGAAAGCAAACGGGAGTCAATATTTAATTTGAATGATCATTTTTTTGCCATTCCAATTTCAAATAAATGCGGAAAACTTATGCTTGGGTTCGTTTTTTATTCTAAAAAGATGCAAATTGATATAGAAAGTTGAAATGTTCAAATAATCATTGATCAATTCAGAGCTGCAAAATCCATACGTTTTTGCGATGAACTAGCGATGAGTTAGCGGTGACTCGCGATGACTTTTTAGCGAATAATTAGCGATGAGTTAGCGATGAACGAGCGAGTTAGATTAATTCAATACGTGAAATGCCCCCAACCCAAGCCCAAGGGTGTGGCGTCTGAAACGTGAGTAAAAAAAGAGTTATCCCCAACCCCCTTCCCCCAACTCCGAAACAAATCCGTTAATTCAATGTTAATTTGAATAGATTTTAAGTGTAATAAACAGAAGTTCTGAAGAAATGAAACTTTCTGATATAATGAAAAATTCTGATTGGTGATTAGAGGAAAAATAGGTTTTTTCAAGTTCTATATTTTATTTAATTAGCCGGCTCTTGTTCCGTTTCCCCGCCTGACCTGCACCTGCAAACTTTTACAAGTGAAGTTTTGTTCGCGTTATCCGAATGTTACGAAAGTTTTTGGCATGCGAACTGATTAGGTCATGACAAACTAATTTGGCCGCATAATTAAACTCGTAAGACTCCTCGTTTCACCCACCATAAAATTATGCTTATGTGAGGTGGTAAGGAAAACCAGGCAATTAGCGATTATTTTAGGAATGAATTAGCGGTCAGTTAAGGATGATTTTTTTTGCAATAATGATTTATTATTTTTCATTGCTAATTTGGCGCTAATTTGTTTTTTAGCGCTAAATCCGATGAATCATTGCTATTTTATCTTTTTTCATCGGTAAACAAATGCTAAATTATCGATTTATGAAATATCACGAAATCATCCATGAAAATGTTATTAAAACTCAATTAGCAATTTTTCATCGATGTTTATTACTGGGACCTCAACCAGGGTAGTTTATGCAGCGACTTATTGAGATCACATAAAAGTTCGAGCCCACTTAACAACGCAGAAAAAAAACACGACTTTAAAAAACTTAGCCAGAAGATCATAAAAAATTTTCAAAGCAACAGATAAACTATTTTCTGGAATCAATTCATCGTAGATAGCTGATTAATTGTTTTCTGCCAGTTTTAATTGAAAGAACAAAACATCCCGTCCCGTTTTTCGCGGCGAGAAAAGTATTTTTAAGTTTTCAGTGGATTTATTGTTAAAACTAGAAGAGCTCCTAATTGACGCAAAAAGAGCTTTTTTAGGTCAGTCAAAATGTTTAGGGGAGAAACAACGTAAACAGCAGTTTCTTCCCAAGAAGTTGAAGAAACAGAAAGGAGGTCAGATTTGTTTAGATTTGTTGAGAAAGTTAGGTCGGCTAGAATTTAGAAGCACAACCAAAATACAGCTCTTGTGAGGGAATAGTTCTCTTTTCAAAAGCAAAAGCAATTTGAGCCGCCGCACAAAACTGTATTCAGCATAGAGGGTTCATCTGGTACTGCTAAAAGTTTGCCTTCTTTCAATTAATTTTAACTAGATTTTTGTTTTTCTGCTAAAAAATATTTCTCTCCTCTGAAAAATATTCTCCGTTAGACATAATTCTCTGAAAATTTATGATGGAATGGTTGATGCAGCTAAAAATTCCTACATCTCATAATAGGAC